GCACGTGTGTGCTGTTCCTGAGACAGGTCCCACTTCTGGATGCTGGTATTGAGTATATGTGTGTGCATATGTGTTCACATGTGTGTGTACATATGTATGGAGTGTGTGTGTATAGTTCTTGCAACACACCCCACTGCCTGCATGTTGGTGTTTGTGTGCACATGTGTGCCTGAGCATTGTGTACCGTTCCTGGGATGTGTACTGCTGCCTAGATGCTGATGTGTGTGCGTGCGTGCACATGTGTGCATGAGCATGTGTGTACTGTTCCTGGGATGGGTCCCACTGCCTGGATGCTGTGTGTGTGTGTACATGTGTGTCTGAGCATGGTATACTGTTCTGGGACGGGTCCCACTGCCTAGATGTTGATGTTTGTTGTGTGCACATGTGTGAGTGTGCCTGTGTGTCTGAGCATGTGTGTACTGTTCCTGGGGCAGGCCCCACTGCTTGGATGCTGGGGTGTGTGTGTGTGTGCGTGTGCACGCTGTTCCTGGGACAGGCCCTACCGCCTAGATGCTGGTATTGTGAGTACATGTGTGTGCACGTGTGTAAACATGTGTGTATGTCTGAGTGTGTGTGTGTACTGTTCCCGTGATGGGTCCCACTGCCCGGATACTGGTATTATGAGTACATGTATGTGCACCTGTGTGCATATGTGTGTGTCTGAGCGTGTGTATACTGTTCCTGGCACAGGTCCCACTCCCTGGATGCTGGTGTGTGTAGATGGATGAGGTTTCACCAAGGCTTCTGACAGGAAGGACCCAGCAGGAGTGTCACCACCAGGAACTGCAGCCTCTGGCCAGGTGGTGGGGGCAGGGGCCGATGGGCACAGAAGTGGGCTCCATGGACCCTGCGTGGTGAACACTGTTGGTGTCAGGGTACTGGAGAGAGGGTGACTGCGTAAGGATAGGATGGGGGTAGGGTAAGGTGTCGGGGGCATGGTCTCTTTGGCTCTGTGGGTATAGGTGTGCTCTTGCTGGCATGCTCGTCAGAGCATCCCCCTCGCTTGTGGAAAAGTGAAGTGAGATCTGACCAAGTTCCTGAAAGGACACAGCAGCCGATGACAGGCAGGGCCTTCTCTATCAGCACTGCTGGCCACGAAGAACCCCCACTCATGTGGCTTTGCTGGAAGACAGGGACTGGACCCTGACTCACTTGAATGACCAACGAGCAGTTAGGAGAGCAGCCTCAGTCCTATTCCCAGAGTGCTGTGCTCAGGTGCCACGTGGCAGATCCTGACTCACAGTCACTCCATGTGACATCTTCAAGGAAAGCAGCTCTGGTGGTGCAGCGGTTGATCACCTGGATGCAAAATGGAAGCTCGGCAGCTGGAACCCACCAGCCACTCAAGAGAAAGATGAAGCAGAAAGACAGCCTAAGAAACCCTGTGGGGCAGTTCCACTCTGTCCTCTAGGGGCGCTGTGGGTCAGAATGGACTGCGCAGCAGTGGGTATGGTTTGGGCTTTGCTTCTGTGAAGACTGACAGCCTTGGAGACCCTGTGGGGCAGTTCCACTCTGTCCTCTAGGGGCGCTGTGGGTCAGAACGGACTCCACGGCAGTGGGTATGGTTTGGGCTTTGCTTTTGTGAAGACTGACAGCCTTGCAGTGGGGCAGTTCTATGGTTGCACATGGAGTCTCTATGAGTCGAAAGTAACTCAATGGCAAGGGTTTTTGGTGACAGAGGAAGCAGTCTTCGTGTGCAAAGTCCCTCAGTGGGCTCTGTGCCATCATGGAGGCAGGACGCCTAGAGGCAGAGAGTGAGAAGACAGGCACACGTGGGTAATAAACAGCACACAGCCTTGGTTGGGAACTTCAAGTCCTTTATGAAGCACGTCTAACATCCCCAGACCCCAGCATCCTGGCCTCCCCAAAGAAAAGGTACAGGTTGGATAGGCTGTGCCAGAAATAACGTTCAAGCTTCCCCCAAAAAATCTATTCAAATCAAACCCCTTCCATAGCACCATTAAAAGAAGGGATGCCGACTTCACTGCACCAAACCAGAACAGGTGGACCTCCAGGGTCCACACGGAATATTTCTTTAACAGTTAAACTCACGTTACACGTACGAGTGGTCTGTGTGATATAACATAGATGTTTTTCCCTCCCTTGTTTTCAACAGTCTTTTGTAGTCGCACAGGGAAGGGAAGAAAAAGAAGGAAGTGAAGACCTGCTTGTCGGCAACTAAAGATCCAAAAGAAAGCAAAGAACAATGAGGACCCTGGAGGTGCGGCCGTCCCAAAGGGGCTGGCAGATGCTGGCCACAGCTGGTCACTGGCCTGTTAGGGGTCGGGGAGGAAGCAGACTCCTCTTTGGGTCTGTCTTGGATATGTGTGTTTGGACCAAGAATAAAGAAAGTAGCTGTCTACAATGTCAACTGAAAAAGCACCCCAAGAATGAAGCACCAGTAATCACCGTGCCCCTAAAACAGAAACCAAGCTGCAGCAGACAGACTCAGTGAGGCTGGGGACTGCGTGTACCACCTGTCTCACCACCTCATCAAGTCTACGAGGGCCTTCTTCATGGAGAACTTTTCCCATATTTCATGGAATTTTATTTTTTGGGGGAAAGAAAAAATAGTGTCTCCCACCTTCAGCCATTTGTCCTTGGAGCTGTATGACTGAAAGAGGCTGGTGTCATGGGGAGGAAACAGAGGCGGAGGTCAGCACCTTCTCTGCCCATCTCTGATCTTCCGGAACTTTCCGCGTGCCTGCCAGAAGCTGTGTGTGCACGTTGATAGCAAGTCTCTGGGTGTAGCTTTCAAGACCCTTTGGTCCGTCCCGTCTGCACTGCTGAGAGGCGCCCAGGAGGTGGTCTTGGGTGTGGACTTCCCACATGCGCTACTGCGCCTAAAACTGCGGCTGCAAAGGGACAAAGCCTCGTTAATGAATCCTGCTTGCTCCTCCTCACGTGTCCTCAAGGTACATGTGGTGGCTGCAAAGCCACGGGAAACCTGTGACTGAACCTACGGGTTTTAAGACATGTACTATTTATTCTCAAGATAGTATTCGTTTCCTTACAGTAACCATATATAGAGTAAGAATGGGTCCACAGTAAAGTAACAATAACATTGCGAGCCTGTCTTTCTTCACCCTGGTCTTCCTGCTGGAACCCTTACGGCCGTCAGCAACACTGTCGCATCTTTTGTTGTTATTAGCTGCCAGCCAGTTGCCTCCGACTCCTGGCGGCCCCACGAGACAGAGCAGAACTGCCCACAGGGTTTCCCAGGCTGTCGTTGTCACGGGAGCACACCACTAGCTCTTTGTGATACAGAGCTGCTGGTGGATTTGAACTGCCAACCTTTTGGGTAGAAGCCAAGTGATTAACTGCTACATCACCAAAAACCAACCACCAAGCCCCCTGCCATCTACTCTGACTCACAGCGACCCTAGGGGAGAGTGGCGTTTCCCCCCCGAGTTCCCAAGGCCTCAATCTTTACGGAAGCTGAATGCCACACATCTTTCCTCGTTGGAGCAGCTGGTGGAGCTGAACCGGCAACCCTCCAATCCACAGTTCAGTGCCACCAGGGCCCGTTATGACTGGAAAGTTTTTATTGTTTTTAAGTGCTCTGTAATTCTTTTTCAGTAACATGTTCCCATGCCCATTTTGTGGGAAGGTCACTATTCTTGTCTTGGAGATGTCACATGGGGCTAACGACCTCGCTGCCCCCAAGCCGCCTTGCAGGGACGCGCAGATGTCCAGCAGGAAGCGATGAGGAGGGTTCAGCCCAGCACTGCTGGGCCCAAGTGCCCAGGACGTGGCAGCTCTTACAGGTTACGGGAAGAGGCTCTGTCAAGGTCACCAGGAGGACACGCCAAGCGGGCCAGTCTGGTTGGCGTCTCCCCCCAGACCTGAACAGCGTTTCCACTCTTCCCGCGTGCTGATTCACCTGGCTGGAGACCTTTCCCTCCCCACCCGCACCCCAACTGCTCTGCCTCATTCTCCTCCTCAGGCCTGCACTCACCCGCACCCCAACTGCTCTGCCTCATTCTCCTCCTCAGGTCTGCACCCAGGTGGTGCCTCCTCTAGCCTCCTCCCAGCCCCCGGCCCCTAACCTCTCTGCCTGGCTAATCTCACTCTTCAGGTCTTGGCTCAGTTGAACTTCTTCCAGGGAGAAGCCATCTCTAACCTCTCCCAACGACAGGCTCAGGCATAGCAAGGACCATGGGGCTGGCACAGGACCGGGCAGTGTTTTGTTCTGTTGCGCATGGGGTCGCTAAGAGTCGGACACAACTCGACGGCACCTAACAACCACCACCTCTCCCAAAGGAGTCCTGGTGGCACGGTGGCCAAGTGCTTGGCTGCTAACCAAAAGGTCAGCAATTCAAACCCAGAAGCCACTCTGCGGGAGGAAGACGTGGTGATCTGCTCTGGAAAGATGGCAGCCGGGGAAACCCTGTGGGGCGGCCCCGCTCTGTCACAGGGTCGGTGTGAGCTGGAATCAATGCGACAACATCTAACAGCAGCAGCCTCCCCCACGTCTAGATTAGGGGACCCTTCCTACGAGCTCCAGTCCCATCCTTCACTTCACGCAAGGCATGTCACCACACGCCCTGCAATGGCCTGCTTCTGTGCCTACACCCCTGGGCAGAGACAACATCTGTCCTTCCGTCCTGCATGGCTAGGACTGAGCACGTGGCCAGAGTGTAATGGGTGCTCCTAAGTCTGTCAAAGAGGACACCTGGTACCTGCAAGCAGCCTGGCTGGTGAGCAGACTCATAGGTCTGGGCCCCGTGTGCGTGGCTGCCACCAAGGAGGAGCAGGCACGAAGAAGCAGCCAGGTGCAGGGCCAGCGGAGGTGAGGCTGGCCACGTGGGATATGGTGTGGGAGAAGCTCTGAGAGGAACAGATGGGCAGAGGGGCCGTCAGGTCAAGTCTAGAGATCTTAGGTTCCATCTGGGCGTCAAGGTCAAATGCATGAAGGTCACACTGGCAGAGCCACGTTGAGATCCATGGATTTTGGATATCTAGACCCCAGCCCTGCTGCGTGGGGAGCAACGCGCGGGTTACTTAAACCTGGTTCCAGGGTTCACAGAGGAGGAGGACTCAGGAGCCAGCACAGCCCCTGGGTCCCAGCCGAAGAGGCTCGAGGCCACAGTATGAGCAACAACACTCAAGGGAGGGGCCCCTGAAGACAGGGCGAGAGCACTGAGTCTGCCCCCGGGCCCAGGGAGGCTCACTGGGCAGTCAGGACGCGTGGCACGGGTCTGGCCCAGCACAGAATTGCAGGGCTGCAGGAGAAGCTTGGAGGCCTTGGGCACAACGGATGGGACGTGGCTCTGGATGTTCGGGCTTGCTATGGCCGCGGCTTCAGAAGGGGCCCCATCCGAAGAGCATCTGGCAGACAAGGAGCTGAGCAGGTGAGCAGCACTGGGTGCCACGTGCTTGTATGTCCCACCGGCGGCATCTGTAGACACGGAGCCCAAGCGGCCTCCAACGAGAAAGAAAACAAAGTGTGTCAGCTCCTGCGTCACACACAACTTGTGTTCTGCTTCATTTCCTCACGCTGCAAACTGGTACCATGGCTACATTCAGACATTGGTGGCAATACAGGCTGACCTTCTGGTAGACATATGTCATGTAATACACACTATAAATCTGTGTTCATGGAATGCATGGCTAATTGCCTCCATGAACACCTGTCTCCTTTGCCATGAGACCACAACAACTGGATGGTGCCCAGCCACTGTTAATGAACATTCTGATCAAAGATTCTGTAGAAAAATCCTGATCAAAAGGGAGGGGAAATGCAGAACAGATTGTCAAATGTTCATAGAATCCACGTTTTCTGGAGTCACTGAGGCTCGATGAACCCCCAAAACTATCCCTCTAAGATAATTTTAAGCCTTAAACCAAAAAATATCCCCTGAAGTCTTCTTTAAACCAAGCAGTAGTTTAGTTTAATTAGTGAAGAGTGTCTGCCTTGAGTATCATGCTCTCTTAAGAACAATCTACATGGGATCAAAGCAACCAAAGAAACTAAAAGAGTTGAGTAGGAAGCTGAGGGGGCAGTGAGTTTATGTTTGGAAGGAGGAACGACTCAGAAAAGGAGGATGAGGATGGTCGCACAACTCCAAGAATGTCACCAGGGTTACCGAAGTGCACACGTACAAACTGTCGAACTGATGTATATTCTGCTGTGTCTATTTAAAAAAAAAATAAATAAACTTGTTTAAAAAGAGAGAGAGGAGGAGAGGACCAGAGCATCAGAACTGCTCTCATTTTCAACTAATAAAATCAGAACGACAGAGTGGACAACGACGGAAAGAGAAAGACACGTGTGAAAGGGGCAGCGGATCTCTGGCACCTGGTGTGGTTCTCTTTTCTTTTACTTTCATCATAATCAAAATTGTGACCACGCCATGCACCAAGGAAGGACGATGGAAAGAACTCAGCTATGGATACAGCCGGGTCTGTGTTCAGTCAGTGACATGGCTCCATGATGATGTGTCTGCATCCCACACAGTAATTAACCTCCTTGTCTCCAAGCTGGCTCTGACCCATGGTGGCCTTGTGTCTGCCAGCAGAGCTGGGCCCCACGGAGTCTGCAATGGAGGGTTTTTCAGAAGGAGATTACCAGGCCTTTCATCCATGGTGCCTCTGGACAGACCAAACCTACAACTTTTCAGTTAGCAGCCAGTGTGTTAACTGTTTGCACCACCAGGAACACCACACCGTCATGAGAAGACAGGAGAAAACAACATACATCTATACATAAAATTATATACATAAAATTAACAATGTAATCCCAAGTGTACCATGAATATCTGTTTAGTTTCTCTGGGCATTAGTAAGAATGCGAGTAAGATAATGTCATTTTATATTTACTTTTAAAATAACTAGACGATTTCTGAAAAAGGAGCTCTGGTAGCATAGTGCCTAAGGCACTTGGCTGCTAACCAGAAGGCTGGCGGTTCAAACCCACCAGCCACTCCTCGGAAAGAAGGTTGGGCAATCTACTTCCGTGGTGATACTGCCTCAGAGACCCAAGGAGGGGTCACTATGAGTCGGGGCCGACTCGACAGCACATCACAAGAACAACATTTCTGAAAAGCAATTTAAGCACGTGTGTACAGATGTTGATGGAAAAGAACCAGTAACGGTGGCCTGATGAAGTCTAAATGCTGAGCAGGGAACATGAATATGACACAAGCAGGTTTAGAGCCATGTGAAGTTGAGCTCACAAGTTAAACGGCTTCTTGAACCATCATATAAAGGAGCCCCCTCATGTCTGAGATTAGATGGCCCTGTAGTTCCCTTGGGGTAGGTAGGAACTACTATCAAACCAGATGCCCTGCTCTCTGCCACAAGCTTCACCAGCAGGAACACAGCTCAGGTACCCTGCACCCTACTCAGTATTTTTGTTTGTTTTTTAAATTATTCACTTTTTTTCTGTCTACTTTTTAGTTTTCTTTCTTTCCCTTCCACACTCCTTTCTTCCCCTTTTCTTGAGTCCCTTCTTCTTCCAGTTCTTTCCATCCTGTTTGTCTTTTTGCTTTTTAATTTTTTTCCTTATTACTCTTTTCATTTATTCTCTTCTCTTTTTCCCTCCTCCTCAGATAATGGGTTTTATTTTATTTTTTTCCTTTTTACTTCTTCTATTTATCCTTCTTTTTCCTTTTCAAATTTTTTTCATTTCGTGTTTTTTTCTTTTTGTGGTTGCTGCTGCTTGTTTATACTAATTGTGTTTTTACTGTCTTATTTTTTTGGTGCTGTTGTTTTTTTTTTGTTGTTGTTGTTGTTTTGTCCCACTGGGTGGGAGAAAGCAGCTGTGCCCACATGGCCCAACCACACCTGCACCCCCTGCAGCTCCACCCACTGGGAGAGGGCCACCATCTGCTTCTGCACCAACATATCAATGACAGATAGTGGCCAATGCCATCCCACCCGCCCTCAACTGCTACATGAACAACTAACAGAGATCTGTACATACATTCTCCTCTTCTGTCACACCCACCAGAAAACACAGATATACCAAAACAAAATAAAGAAAGAAAAAAAAAAAACTGGGAGAATCACATCAACATACAATCATCGATTAAATACAAATACAATGACATCATAATGTCTCAGAGACAACTGAAAATCCAGTCACACAAAGAAAAAAAAAAATTAGTACAAACCAGACACCAGAATACAGAGCCAGACAATCTCCATAAGGAAGAAGTGGCATTGGAACTACCGATAAGAAATTCAAACAAATTATATTTAGGTACTGTCAATGGACTGAGGGACAGATCAAGGAAAACATAGGAAAAATCAAGGAAAATTCTGATAAAATTAAGGAAAACACATACAAAGCTCTACAAGAAGTTAGGGAAACAACACAAGAACTAGCTGATAAGTGAAAAATTAGAAACCACACAAAAACAGCAAATAGAAATCTAGAAGATTAATACTAAGATTTCAAGAATAGATAACACATTGGAAGGACAATGGGAGTAGAACTGAATCAATGGAAGATAGAATTAGTGAGACTGAAGACAAATCTCTCAATACTACTTAGTTAAGGAATCAATCAGAAAAATTATCGCAACAAAATGAAGAAAGCCTAAGATTTATGTAGGACACCATCAAGAACAATAACGTACATGTGATCAGCATTCCAGAACAGAAGAGACAAAACCACAGAGAAAACTGTCAAAGAGTTATTGGAAGAGAACTTCCTCTAGTATGATGAAAGATGAGAAGATACCCATTCAAGAAATTCAGTGAACCCCAAACAGGATAGACCCCAAAAGAAAATCACTGAGGCATATAATCACACTTGCTAAAACAAAAGAAAAAGAATGTTGAAAGCAGTTCAGGAAAAATAAAGTTACCCATAAAGGGTAACTAATAAGCCTGAGCTCTGATTTCTCAGCAGAAACCATACAGGTAAGAAGGCAATGGGATGACATACATAAAATCCTGAAAGAAAATAACTGCCAACCAAGATTTATATACACAGCAAAATTATCCCTCAAATATGATGGTGAAATTAGGACATTTTCAAATGAAAAGAAATTAAGGGTATTTGTTAAAGCCAGACCAACCTCACAAGAGATACTGAAGGGAGTTCACTGGACAGAGAACCAACAAGAGCAGAAAACAACCAATGACTAACACACATGACAACATACACAGAAACCAACCCAGACATAGAAGTGTACAAAGTAAAATAAACTTACAACACTGTCAACAGAGAACATGAGACATCAATTGGTAAACAAGCCAAATGAAAAGGAAAAAGAGGGAATAAATAGTGTAGTTGCAGAATTTCAAAATGCAGAGGAAGTCAAGAGTCAAGACAATTGCAAGACAGAACGGACTGTTTGAAACTCAGGAAGAAAATTATAAATCACAGGGTAACTTCAAAGAAAATGAATAAACCTTTACATCAAAATGAAAAAGAGGAAAAGTGAAATATCCAGCAAATAATGAAACAACAGCAATGAAGGAAATGATAAAAATATTCATAAACAAAATGAGCTCAGCACAGAAAGTTATATGCAACAAAGAAATCAACAACACAACAAAAAAATGTAGCAAAATGCCAGCAATAAATCCATACTTGTCAATAATTACAATGAATGTAAACAAATATTGCACCACTCGACAGCCAGAGAGTTGCAGACTGGATGAGAAAACAGGACCCATCAATATGCTGTCTACAAGAGACTCACCTTATGGGGACCAGTTTCGCTGGTCCAATAGAGCCTGGTGAAACCACTGAGACTATGGCCCCTAGCTGCCCTTCAGGTCTGGGATTGAACCCACACCTCTGGTTTCTAGCCAAACAAAGAACAGGCAAGTGAGTTAAACATTTACCTCAAGTAGACACAC